TCCCCTCCCCTCCCCTCCTCCTCCTCCTCCTCCGAGTCACCTGCCCCGACAGCTTCACTTTCACTTCGCTTCCTCCTGGCACCTCAATTGCCACCTGCCTTGCAGTCAACGCACACATTCAGGAAGCATGTTACCTACCCCTGTCTCCTGCCTGTTCTTGAACCCCTCTTCCTTCCTCCCGAGCTCAACTCCAGCAAGCTGAGCTCGCATCTGCCAGTATCCTCGCTCTCCAGGCCTTTTCCTTCTCCTTTCCTCTTCCTCCTCCTCTCTCCTCTCTCTTCCCATCAGCTCCTTCTCCCTGCCGCTTCTCTCTTCCTCCCTTGCTGCCTTGGCCATGCCAACGAGCCATTCGCTCGAGTTTCCCGAGGAGTCCTCGATATCATCTCCAGCTGTCCTCTCCTGCGACTCTCTCGCGCTTCTTTCCTCCTGCTGGCCCCGCTGGGCCTCCTGCACGGACCGTCGCATCCCCTCGTGCTCGAAGTCGCGCAGCTCCAGGTCCTTCCTCATCCTTCAGCCTCCTCCTCCTCCTCCTCCTCCTCACCTCCTCCTTCATCCTAAGCTCCCGCTCCCGCGCAGCGATCTCGGCGTCGAGCATCTCCTGTTGGACAAGGAGGTGACGGGGAGGAAGAGTTGAAAGGGAGGAGGAGGTGAGGGGGAAGGTACCAGCTGCTTCCTTTCTGCTTGCAGGGACAGCAGGTTGTCCTCCACCTCCTGCTCGTAGTGCGAGGCCGCAAGCTGAGGAGAATAAGTTAGAGGAGAGAAGAGGGGAGGAGACGAGAGGATGGAGGGAGAAGACGAAGCATGGGAGGAGGAAGGAAGAAGAACAAGAGGAGGGAGGGAGGGAAGACAGAACCTTCCAAGCTGCTCCTTCTCTGCTCAGCTGAGACTCGAAGTCGCGGATGCGATTCCTTGCCTGGCAAAACCTCGATCATGAGAGGAGGAGAGAAGAGGAGGAGGGAGGGAGGGAGGGAGGGAGGGAGGGAGGGTTGAGAGTGCAGACAGACGAGAGGAGCATTGCATTACTTCTAGCAGGCGGAGATGTCGATAACGTTCCATCTGACGAGACAATCGTCAACAATCGAATCTAGAAGGCAGAAGAGGAGGAGGAGGAGGAGGAGGAGGAGGAGGAGAGGGATAAAATAGGAGGAGGAGGAGAGGGATAAAATGATGAGGTTTCGCAGAGTAGAGAGGGGACAGAGAGGGGGAGAGAGAAAGAGGATGATGAAGAAGAGGATGACGAAGAAGAGGATGACGAAGAAGAAGAAGAAGAAGAGGATGACGAAGAAGAGGATGACGAAGAAGAAGAAGAAGAAGAAGAGAAAGAAGAAGAAGAAGAAGAAGAAGAAGAAGAAGA